ACCTACTTTTTTATACATTCTTTTATCAATTTTTGGATCAATCAAAGAATTGTCATCGTAACTTCGAAAAAACATTCGAGACCAATATAAATATACCTCTTCCTCGAATAACCTTAAAAGAAACCTTAACTTTCGATTAAATTACAAACGATTGCGGCTCGAGTTTCATCTCGGTCGAGATGATTCGCGCTAAAAAAGGCGGAGCGAATCGCGAAAGATCATGGCTTCCGTGCACGAGAGGCAAGAGAACGCGGAGTGTTCGTGCGTCAGGGTGGAAAAACGAAGGAGTGCGGGAAAAACTCACCGGTGGTGGTTTGCATCGATGGCTCGACGTCGAGTGGCGATGTCGAAGCGACGACGACCCCGCCTATAAGGCAAAGTCCTGCGACCAGGCGCAGAAAGCATCTTTCCTGGATACGCATCCTACCGCATTCTTCTGACCACGGCCCCTCTGAAACGCTGTTCGAACACCAACAATCGCGCACTCGCGATTAATCTTGCCACTCGATCGAATCGTGCAACACGATTCGAGACGAAACGCGCGAACAAAACACAGGACGGCCGGCGATCGATCGATCTTCGATCGATCAATGGACAACCGATAAATAGAAGCACAAACGAGATATATACACGGTGTCCACTTGGTCGGTTCACTTGGTCGGTCGCGATCCGTGCCGAGGCCGGAGGTGAAGTGCACCGGTGAGCGGGATTTACCTCCTCCTTGCCGGTGCTAGAGCGTTGTTGCCTCGCTTGCCTTTCATTCCTCCTCTCCGGCCAGCCGGAGAATTCTCCACGCTCACCTTGCTACAGGCTCGCCACGATGCGATTCTACAGGCTGTTCCTGATCAACCGGGCAGTATCGATATACTCGTCTTCGACTCGATTTGGTGTGCGCGCCGCTTCGTTTTCAGGGGAGACCGACTTCCGGCCTTCCCCTCTTGCGTTTCAATCATCGATTCGAGACGATCGTTCGTTCGTTCGCACGTTTCGACGATTTCTTCGAAATTTCTTCGATTTTACGTCTCGGTGACGTCTGGTGTCATATTTGTAATTGAATTAGGATTAACTGTAAATTTGAAAATTGTTTATTCCACAGTGGATGGATTAGTTAATTGAAGGAGATGATCGGATAGAGAAATATGTTATATATTATTATTAATGTATATATTATTAAACGTGCATTGTTTCAACACACGATATTTTCGGTCTTCTCAATTTTTTGGATAAATTTTGAAGAAGAATGTAGAAGGTATGATATAGGTGGATTTTCTTTTTCTACTGTCCAATGATATAAAAATTAATATTCTTACATGCATTAATATTTTTTTGCGTTTAAACAGTAATGATTACAGTAATGATTACACAAAGTTAAAATAACAAAACTATTTATTCAATAACAAATGCGTCTATTTTGAAACGTCTATAAAGAAACAGTGAAAGAAAATTTAATTAAAAATTCATCATGTTAAAGATCCTCGTAAAATTTTTTTTTCAAAGCTATTCCTTCTTCATAGTTTCGTCTCTCTTTTTTTCCCCTTCGAGGAGTCATTTCACATTTAGAAAAGAGATTCACTCGTAGAAAATTATACATATATTTTTTTATAGAAATCAGATTTCCTCAAAGTTTCTTTTCCTCGGAAACGCGATAAAATTGAAATCGCTCTCCAAAGTTTCGCGCCAAATACACGCAATAGCTTCCCCTCGTTGGTTACCGAGTCGATCGATTAGATCGTGCGTAGGCGATCGAAGGACAAATCGAGCGATGTTCAAAGCGAAATCGAAAGTATTTCGTTATCCGTGTATTTTCATTGTCCATCGATCGTCGTCCTACTTGCACGAACAAAATGTTGCGTATCGAAGATGTAATTTTAGAAACAATTTCACCTTACTAAAAACGAGGCGACGATGCGATCAATGACAATTGCGACGATCTTTCTCCTCCTCGCAGAAACTTTTTCTTCTTTTTCTTCTTCTTCTTTTTTTTTACGAACCAATTAGCACACAATCGTTCGTCATGGACATACACCTTGGAATTACCAGTCGTATGCAACAGCTTGTAAAATTCATTTGAAATTCGTTACACGTCCATCCTATTTTTGTATGCGCGCTGAAAGAGATATTTTCATTTCTGAATGGAGGCAGCTCAATTATTCTGTGTATTTTTTTTTTTTTTTATATATTATCATATTTCCATTATTTAATCATGATGGTCTCTGCGCCACAATCGCCAGACAAAATCAGTTGAAGATTGTCTAAGAATAAACAAACGAATAGCGTAAGAAGACACAATTTCAGATGTGTCCTCGTTTCTCAAGTTCCTTCAATTGCCAAACTTGTATTTTTTTCTTTGTTTGCGAGAGATGCAGCGGATAGGATCTTAAGAAATCAGGATGATTCGTACACGAATTTTATCTTCGTTCGAATATTTCGAATTGGAAGAATTCGAATTCTTTTCTCGCGAAATAATTTTCCTTTCTTGTACAAGTTGAACAAGTCACACTTTTTTTTTTAGATTTTTAACAAGTTTGTTGTTCCTTGAAGAGAAAGCTTTAGTGGGTCAGGGTGACGACGCATCGCAAGGCGGGTCTGCGACGAGGGAAGAACAGGAACAGGAATCTCCAATTTGTGCGAGTCATCGCAGTAATCGAATTCGAATTGCATATTTGTGTAGAAATTTTTATTTAATTATTCAAATTCTTATTCCTCCTTTAATGGACGTATGTTGTCCTTTGATGTGATAAAAGTAATTTCATGGTATTAAATACACATGTATCAAGTCTGATGTGACAATTATATCTTTATCGCGATGAAATTAAATATGTGAAACTTTTCAATTAAAGAATGTACAAATTATTAAAGCAATGATCTAGAATCTATAACAAATCAAGTATGTTAAGATTTAATTCCAATAAAAATTAAGCGAAGATTTAATTCCGATAAAAATTAATTAATTTAATTCTGCAGATGTTGAAACGCAGATATCGAGTCAAGTAATGGGTTTGAGTTAATTGTTCAAACAAGTTTGGAAATGGTACAATGAACATTTTATGTTACAAATATCCTTATTACACATCGATACTCCCATTTTTTTCAGAATATGAATGGCGAATAGCTGTGACGGCATTACTCTCTTTCGCATTGAAATAAAAAATCATCTGACTTTATTTCCTTCGTTTGACTTAGTTTTTGGTCAAAATTGACAGATGTTATCCTTTTACCATTAAAAATAACTCGATTTCTCCACGATGAATTTCTATAGAAGGAGAATGACGTCACATTATTCCCTCTGTTATATTAGGCAAACTGACCAGGCTTCCGTCAAAAGTAAGCGTGACGTGTCTCTGCATAATTTAGCAACGACGGTAAGCGCACAATGTGACGTCGCGTATTCTTCTCCAATGGAAATTCACTATAAGAAGAATCGAGCTACTTTTAATAATGCTCAATTTCGTTGTTGACTCAAACCCATCGCTCGAATTCGAGCTACATCTGTGCGCTCAGAATCAAACATCAGATTCTACGCGTAGAATGTTGGCACTCTTTTTTAATCGAGTCACCCTGTAGACTCGAACGTATAACATTTGGCAGGAGAAATCTTTCGCGGGGAAAAAGCAAATGGATACTTATCTAGCTCGCACGCACTCACTCAGCTTCACCTAATGATCTCTCATTGCATTTGTGTACGTGTCTTATGTCATGTAGCCGGTAAACTAGATTCCTCACGCTAGGCGTTTCTGAAAATCGTTCCCCGCGCTCTATTATCTTACGCGATTCTTCGGGTAATAACGTCTTTGAGCAATCTTTTAACAGTCAGGATTATATCACATTAGATCGTCTACATATTTCACCAACGTAATACGGAGATCGTGTTGCGAGATTTCTGTTCCATGGTAACATTGAAAGCGAGATACGAGATAGAGATAATTCTTGTACTCGAATGTCTCGTCGAACGATGTTTCCATACTTTTGTCATTATCATTTTCGTAATATTTTTTTTCTAAAATCAAAACTCTTTTTCTAAAAAGAAACTTCTTGCAGAATTATGTTAAAGAACTTTTCTGATTCCAATCTTACGAAAAAAGAAATGTACGTCGAAAATCCTCGTGGATAGGCTTATGTTACTTTTACGCAATTAAGGGATATCATTTACACTATCTATGTTATTAAAGTATTCAAGGTTTTCGTTCACAAATTAGCCTATTAATCATCGATACGCAGATTTTCTACGCGAAGTAGGATTTCTACTCTCTTGTTCGAATCCTCGGTAAAATTAAATTATGGAACTTTCACGATAATTACGAGATTCCAAGTTGTGCTACGTAATAACCAGGTTCACGTCATAAAATAGACGATTACTCATCGACACGCGTTCCGGATTTTCTATGAGGTCTGTCGATTTAAGGATCATCGGTTCGCATCGCAATGAATCTCTGATTATTCATAGGCAGGGATGTTATTGAATGCTAATTACACTTTGCAGTATCCGATAATAAGATGTTTAAAAAATCCGATAAACTTTGTTATATCGGATAATATCTTAACGATTGGATGCAAAGTTGTTGTCGAATAATATAATTAAAATATTCATTGCACGATATTCGCTAATATTAACGGGAAGAAACGAGGAACCGCAACGTAAAAAGTGTAACGCGGACGAAGGAGGACTTAAAACCAAGGAGAGACATGGATTCGGTGAAAGCGTGCCGAATAATGTAGTACGCTTCCGTTAATTTGCCGCTCGTATTGCAACGCATTATCAGCCAACTGTTTTATCTTCCTCTCCAATTATTTATTGCCAGCTGCATCACGTGCGCAGAACAATGAACCAAGGAAAATACGTTTAGAAAATACGCACTAATCCGTCGCGATTCTCTGTTCAAGTTTCCTTTTCCAGCCTTTCTCTCGAGCCGCATTAGTGGCGCGTGAAACGAAAGGAAATAAAAGTGGAGGAATAACAATGTTATTCAGAAAGATGATTAACGTCCACCTTTCTGTTATGCAATCCAGATTGAATGTATCATTCAAATAACAATATGTAAATACTCGCTAATCCATCAAGATCGAAAAAAAAAAAAAAAGAAAAAAGTAAATTATTATTATTGAAATTAATTATATAATATCGAATATTCTGTATACGTTCTGAATAATTTTTGATTTCTTATCGAAATCTGAATTATCGTGTTTTTATCTCGATTCTTAATTCTCAATTAAGTTATCGCAATGATTTTCGATCTTATTGTAAAATTCCATGGATAGATATCTATGGCATTTTAATCATTCTTGAGAATCTTTCCAAGATTGAAATTATTACAACTCAATTTAATCAAATAATTATGTTTTTCGATTAAGCGAATTTCTTCACGAATTTTCACCAGGTTCGATCGCAATGTCGGCGCAATTTCGAATAGTTTCTTGAGGCCCGCATCCAATAGAGGGATTTTCATTATTGTAGCATCGGCCGAAATTGTTCCCAGCTTGGTATTCCCATCTGAACACGCATTGGTTGCACGTTATATTCGGTATACGGACTGCTATGTTGAATTCTGTTTTCACGTTGGGTACTTGGAAGTTGTAATTATATTGATCGACCAATTTCAGCGGGTACTGATTGAAGCATTTCTCGGTTTCGAGGTGGAATGTCTCGTTCAGAGGACACAGGTTGAATGTGAATGTTCCTAAACGGTTATCGGTCAGTTTTAGCTTTACATTTATGATTTGATTTGCCTTGTATCTGTGAACGACAGAATAGATAATGTTAATTAACAGTTAGGATTTTAAACGACAATTGATTGGATTTCGAAATTTGATTTTGTGATAATAAATTTTATTTAACGATTATTTGTTAAAGGATCATAAACATCAAAGGATCATAGAGATATCGTAATAAGAAAGAGAAAATGAATTTACCTTTTCACAATTACACCGGTTCCGTAAAGACCACCGTTCTCGTTTGGTCTTGGACGAGAAATAGCGTAATCGTCACCGCATTCGCCACATTTTTGCTCATTTTGTCCATATTGGATCTACGATGTAAAAATGTATCAATAGTAATCAATTAACGATTTGTTTTTCATTTACTTTGTTTTCAACACTTCAACATTTGTCGTTAACACGTTCAACTCATTGATGCGACATATACGGAGAACTTGATCCGTTTTCAGTATATAATTTATCATTTTTAACAAACAATCAATCAACAAATCAACAAATCTGATTTTCTTAAATTTTCCTCGCGATTAAAAATATTATTGATTCTTACATCTATTCCTCCGCAGAAGAGTTCATGATCGTTGTAATTCGGTTCAACAGGGAATCCTTTTCGCCAAGCACTGCTCCTGCTAATAGGATCGAGCATTAATCCTCGTCCTTGGATCTTTGAAAAATAAATCCCGATCAGGAAAATGATCAATAAAAATTTTTCAAATGTCATCTTCAGCTTTTTTTCTTATACTTTTCCTTTGATCAACACTGTTATAATTCCATTGTTAAGTTTATTTTCTTATATAGAATAATTCGATAAATTATCGGGATATTTATCTTGTACTTATCAATGTGGAATTAATAGATGGCTATCATTCCGCTTATTATGCTGAATACACGAACGTTTGTATTGAAAATTTATTTCATATTTTTTTTTAGTAAAATAATAAAGTAAAATTATGATTTGCCATGTTTAATTTCAATTTTTTTTTATATGATGGCAGCTTGAATAAAAAAGGATAAATAATGAAAGAATAATGAATAATGAATAAAGCATGATAAAAGAATGAAAGATATCGAAAAAAATACGAATATATTTTCTATAAGTTAATATAGATTTATAATAAATACATTTATTATATTATTTTCATTTTATTATATTTATTTCATAATTATTTAAATTTAAATAAATTTAATTAGATCAAAGAGATAAGATGTTTAAAATGAAATCGCAATATTTTGAAAAAAATTTTAAAGAAAAAAAAAATATTGCGATGTAGAAAGTAAATTTATAAAATTTATATATGATAAAAATATATGACAAAATATATATGACAAAAATATGTATGATATATATGTATATATATATATATTTTTTATATATATATATTTTTTAGTATTTAACTTGTTGCGCCATCTCTTTGATAAACGCTCAAACTTGTCGTAGATTATTACCGATAACAAAGCGAACTGTTAAACATTTTTGCCCAATAATTTTATTTTAAGAAATGTTTTTTTTATACATAGTTATCGATAATAAAATGAATTGTTTAAAAAAATTGATATTATATTTGAATTGTAACTCTAAACTGATAGTAAATAGTAAACAAAAAATTATTTTTATTAAATGATAGAAACTTAATCAGAAAAATATCGATGGTTTCGATATATCGATCTCTAAGTATCGATGGTAAAATTGATGTTTCCAATCGATATATCGATGTATTCGAAATATATTGTTACCATCTCTACATGTGCTTCATTGTTTGGAATAGTATAACCTCTAAGATACGTGTTTCCCGCCAAGTGCAATTAAACACTGTATACTTTTAAATTGTAAAAAGACATGTCTAAGGAAAAACTAGAAGAATCAGAAAATGAATTCATGTTGCGGCCAATGAATTGTGAGTTAAATCAGCTATCTATGCCTGACGGATCAGCGATGCTAATGCAAGGTAATTGTTAATTTTTATTTTAACTTTTCTTTATATCTTTTATTTATATCTATTTTTATTATATAACGTTAAATCTTATTTAATAATAATCTTTTATATAATTTAGGAAATACTGCTGTAGTTGCTGGAATATATGGACCAATAGAAGCAAAACCTCAAAAAATGATTTATGATAAAGCATCAATCGAAGTATCATATATTCCAGTCAAAGGTCCAGCGAGTAAGTTAAACTATATTCTAAATGTAATTTAATTGTTTTATAAAATATTGATATGTGTATTAATTTTCCAAGAGATTGATGATAGAATGACAGAAATGTATATTAAAGAAACTTGCGAAGCCGCAATAATTGTTACTTTTCATCCAGCAACTGCTATATGCATTAACATACAAGAAATGGAAGATTCTGGTGGGGTATGAATTTATTTCATATAGATTTGTATTATAAAAATTTAAAATATACTTTAAAGTAATTAATATTAATTACTTTTTCAGATGTTAGCTTGTACAATTAATGCAGCTTGTTTAGCGCTTATTAATGCTGGTATTCCAATGAAATTTACTATTGCAGCAGTTAACTGTATGATACAGGAAGGCACTAATAATATTATATTAGATCCTGATAATACTCAGTTACAAGTATGAATATATCAATATATATTTACACATCTTAGAGATAAATTAATTAAAAAAAGATTCAAGACAAATAAAACATTTTATTCAATTAATCTTTCAATTTTATTAAATCTGTTTTAGGATGCTAAAGCAGAATTTACATATGCATTTGATAGTGTGAAAAAAGACATCATATGTTGTTATACTGCTGGTTGTTTTACAGAAGAAGAATTTTTAGAAACAATAGATAAATGTAAACAAGCTAGCCAATATGTATTTGATTTTTATAGAAATCTTGTAAAAAAGTATGCAAATGTAATATAATATATACAAATATTTTTATGGAATATATCTATTTTTTTGTTTACCTGAAACAATAATTTGATATTTTATTACTTAATTTTTAAATATTTATAATGTATATGTAATACAGAATAATTATATAGAAAATAAAGTTTATGAATTTCTATGATAAAAAAATATCACTGAAGAATACATTATATGCATATTTAAAAAATATGAAAAATTTGAATCAAATAAGATGTTGAGATTTTTAACCAATACATTAGATAAAAAAAAGACATTAAAATTAATTAGATATCGAAGCGGTATTTTTAATGTAAAAATGTCGTATAAACAAGGAAAGCAAATATTGAAAAAAAGGATAGAGATAGAATAAAAATATTGAAATCAGCGCCATCTCTAGAGTGCCGCAAATGAAACACATAAAGAAAGGACAGAAAATAATAAGAGAAGGATAGAAATAGGATAAGAATTGACTACTACTGCCATCTTTTAAGTTTCAAAGACACCTCTTTAAAGATATGGTAAAAAGAATTCAATGTCAGCGCCATCTATTGGATTTTTTTAAAAACAATTCTTTAAAATAATTTCTAAAGGATAGAAAATAATAAGAAAAGGACAAAAATAGAATAAGAATTAACCGTTAGCGCCATCTCTCGAGTGGTAAAGAAATTATTTTAAAGAATTGTTTTTAAAAAATCCAAAAGATGGCGCTGGCATTGAATTCTTTTTACCATATCTTTAAAGAGGTGTCTTTAAAATTTAAAAGATGGCAGTAGTAGTCACTTCTTATCCTATTTCTATCCTTCTCTTATTATTTTCTGTCCTTTCTTTATGTGTTTCATTTGCGGCACTCTAGAGATGGCGCTGATTTCAATATTTTTATTCTATCTCTATCCTTCTTCCACTATTTTTTTCCTTGTCTATCTTGCTTTTAGCGCGCGAGTTATTATTTATTATATATCAATTGAACACATTTTCATTTTTTCTCTTTTAAAATTATAATGTATCTAATTTTTTATGTAGAAAATATTATATTTTCGATTTTATAATATATATTTATTACTCACAATTTTGCAAAAAATAGAATTTTTATTCTAATATATGACACGAGTGTTCTGATTTGAAACATTATTTGTACAGCAAAATTTAAAGAAATTTTATATTATTTAAATTTTATTCAGCAATAAAGGTAAGAAGAAATTTTTAAAATATTTAATTAAAAAACGATAGTTTTTGTTTGTCGAATTTATTCTTTCGTTATTTATAATTTTATAATTTTGTAAAAAAATTTCTAAGATTGTGTAAAATTAATTATTCGCAAATAAATGTATATATGTATATGTATATATATATATGTTTCTAACAACTGTTACTAGATGGCAGCACACGACTCTCTGATCGCTACTGACCTCTGCCGGCCAAATCTCTAACTACTTTTAACCGGAAGAATTTGAACCTGCGAAAAACAGTTTAACACAAATTTTTTTTAATATTTTAGTACATTAACAGTAAAAACTCAATTGTTATCAAAAGAATATATAAAATATCTCATTATTACGATATATCTATCTCGCTAATTTAATATTATCCTTCAATTAAAGATTAAAATTATTAATTCAATATTATCTATTTCTATTTTTTCCTCTTTCTCATCACTCAAGCAATAATATAATTATCCAAACGATTGATTTCATTAATTTTCACACTCGTTCACACGTCAATTAATATACAATATCAAATATATGTTAAAACACATTCCATGGGAGAAAAAAACGAATCTTTCCGTATGTGTAGTTAATCTCAACTATTTCTCGAATCTTTAACGGGGGGGAGGGGGTGAAGAAAAAAAAGAAAAACGAAGAAAAAGAGTAGAAAAAGAGGGAAAGCCGGAACGTGTCCTCGAATTCAGCGACGTTTAAAAAGAAGCAGGATATCTGTCGGTGGGACCACGCCCGGTCGCCAATCACAGCCAGTACCGAAGCTTCGACGTGGATCCTTTGTGTCCCTCCGGACCCTTTTAAGTCCCTCTTTCTGGTTCTCGGGAGCCGAGGGACTCGGTGGCCATCTCTGGACGTCCATTAAATACAGAAATGAGCCTTCGAAGAGCGCCACGAACGGGTCGGACCAGATCTTCTCCGGTCTTGGGCCCCGACCATCGTACGAAAGAACGAAGCGGTGGAATAGCAAGAGCGAGAGAGGAAACGAATGGAGAGAAAGAAAAAGAGAAAGAGAGAGAGAGAGAGAGNAGAGAGAGAGAGAGAGAGAGAGAGAGAGAGAGAGAGAGAGAGAGAGAAAGAAAGAGAAAGAGAAGGATAGAGCCGGGTCAGACCGGGCCACGTTTAGCTGAGGTCGCCCCGGGGCCCCAGACCATTAACAAGGAGCGGAGCAATTTATGGACCGGCTCGCTCATTTCCACTTTATTATTATTTTCTCATCTCATAGATGGTCTTCTGCATCGTTTTGTTACGTTCGTTCCCTCGCCACGCCGCCCTGCCTCTCCACGCCGACTCGCGGCCTCCTCCTTCCCTCCACCGTTCCACCGTTCGGCCGTCTCCTTCCCTCCCGGAATTAATACCCACGGCGGAACCGGGAGAGAGCCGGTGGCGCAACACCGAAGTCGTCGATGAGCCCGGAATGGAACTCACGGCCGGGCAAAAAATTGCGGAACGCGAAATATTATTGCCCGGGACCCGCCTCCGTACCCTCCGCCCTACCAACAGTCGATAATACCCTCTTCCTCTCCTTCGCTAATTTCGCCCACTCTGCCAAGCGGAAGTCGTCCATTTTTGCCAAAACTTTGGGATCGCAACTATCCTATTTCGATCGATCCAAGTTTGAAATTTCTTATAATTGTTAAATTTCGTTTG